TAGTTTGATCATCATGTCGTTGGAAAAGAAACCACACACCATTCTTGTTGAAGGAAACACATTTTTGGAATATTTAAAGCGATTCAAAAATGTTGAAGTCATGCCGGAACCAATTGACTCGTTTCGAAATCTCAACGGATCAAACCTGTTGGATTTAGTTTACAAAGACATAAAGAAATGGGCTTTTCCATTTCAAACATATATACATCTGCTCGAACTTCAAAATCACCTGAAAACAACGGGAAAATCAATCAAGGTAATGGAGCGATCGCTATTCGGCGCACAGCATATTTTCGTCGAAGCATTGCTACAAAATAATAAACTCGAGAAAGAGGAGTATGACATTCTTCAAAAATGGTTTGATTTCACGATCACACGTTTCGATATTAAACCGAATCTAATTGTTTACTTGAGAGCCACACCAAACGAGGTATTCGGTCGGATGAAAAAGAGAGGACGACCAGAGGAAAACAACGTTGACATTGCTTACATTGAACAAATCCATGAGTTGTATGAAAAATGGCTTATGAAAGAATGCGGTGATGTGCCCGTTTTGGTTTTGAATGCGAACTTAAGTGCGTACGACGTTCAACAAGAATACGAAAAACGCACATCGGCTCCGAAAATGATCCTATAAACATTTCAATCCAAACAAAAAAATATTTGAGCGCATCTCTCCAGTCAGTGATTTTACTTGTTCATTCGTTCATTCATTCAACGCCGCAAATAAGTTGTCAATACGACGTGACATTTTATTTTCATACATCAATCCAGTTTAAGTGTTATCCATTTATTGGCTACAAGTTAATTTTCCCAACATGTCTTCGCGAGGGGGAAATAACTATTAGTGTATGTGCTCGGCATTAGCAGGCATTGGTACGCATTTGCACGTATTGGCAGTCTACACTTGCAAGCAGTTTTACAGTCTAAGCACGATAGCGAAGTGAGTGTATGCGTTGCTAACAAATACGCTTGCGAATGTTCCTTAACGTATGCGCTGCCATGTGCAGCATTTGATGAGCATTTGCAAACGTTATTTCCCTACTATGCTACGATGAATACGAATCACCACCTCGCGATCATTCAATTTCGCCGTATTGGTCACCGTATCATAATGGATATGAATCGTCACCACCATTGTCACCGATTGTTGTATATACATATTCAATGCTCGAAGATCATAATGAAGTATCTTCGACCAATGCAGACATCGAATATCCAAATGCAATGTCTTCTCATTTTGTTCTCTTTGGTGATAATTCCTGGCGTTTTCCACCGATCCAAATGGATGTCGTATCATCAACAAATGCTGCCAATGTACGAATGCGACTAAATAGTCGAGGAAGTGAAATTGACAATGCTGTAAGTGACGAGCCAATCAGTGATAGTGAGAATGGTGAAATAGATGATGGCACAAGTCAAGGTTTGCCATTCGTACAGCGATTACACTACGAAGATGTATACAGTGACATAAGCGATGATGAAAGAAACAACCACACAGAAGAAATTGTCAATGTGCCAATAGCAAACGAAGAAAGTGAAAATAAAGCAATTGTATAGGTGCCATACAACATCGAAGGAAGCGAAGAAAACCAACCCCTTTTAGGTGTTCGCGATCCTTTTCTCAGTGATGTCGCCATTACTGACGAGAACAGTATCGACCTACTTTTTGGCAATCAAGACGGACAGTGGTTGTTCAACAACACCTATGAAATGCGGTGGATTATGAATGACATTTTGAATGATGACATTGAAATTCTTTAATTACAAAAACACATTTCTTTTTTTGTTTTGTTTTTTATTATTTGATTAATGTAAAATACAAGAAATGTATATTTCTATGGTTAAAACCTGAAACGTGTGGAAAAATGAAAAAAAAGTCCATAGAAAAAAGTCTTATTTTGATAAAATTGTATAACTTTAATTTGATGGGCAGAAGACCCCTATCTAAATTTTTTTGTTTTTTAAATTGCAATTGGTTGAAAAATGATTCTAGAGTACCATACAAGTTGAAGCAAATAGAAAAATCGAAAAATGAATTTGAATTATAGCGCTTTTTTCCTCACTCATACAAATGTGTATGTTCGTTGTACATCAAAAGCTGGCGTTTGGTGAAATTAAATGGTGATTTTCCATCGATGAATGCATAGTAGATTTGCATCCATGTTAAGAATGTGCATTCACCTCGATCATTTTTATACGCGTCGTGATAGCCTCGGATCGAAACTGGTTTCAATGCTGCATACAACTTCTCCGCTATGTGACATCGCTCATATTTGTTGGGATTAAAGTGAATAGTCTCATATTTCGACTCCGTTCTGTTTTTGTCTGGACATTTTCTGATGAACATAGCAGAATCATGTTTCAAGCAGTGTGTCCATAATATATAGAAATAGCACTAAATAGTGTCGATATCTATACTATATCGGTCCACTATATATGGAAGATATTGCTGCACGGCACCGTATCGCACGATCGAAGTGAGTGTAGACGGGAAAAATCACAAGTTGCCGTGCGGCAGTAGAAAGAACTGTGTGTATGCGTCAACATTTTTGCCGTCCGCACTCACTTCAATTGTGAGTTACGGTGTCTTGCGGAAATATCTTCCATATATAGTGCACCGATATAGTATAGATATCGAAACTATTTAGTGCTATTTCTATATGTTATGGACACACTGGTTTCAAGGTACCTACCTAGACAGAGAAAAAATAATTACAAAAATAGAAAAATTGATATAAAATGAGATAAAGTAATCTTACACAAATTCAATATAATAGTGTAGTCCTTAAATTGTCCGTTGTTGAAATTAAAAAATTTGCTCACATACTTATGTGATGTTGAAAGAATGCCGCTCCGCTTCTGAATGTCATATTTTATATAGCTTTTACCTAAAAGATTAAGAAAAAAAAGTGAATTTTTTTGATTTTATGTCTTTAAAATAAAAAAAAACTACGTGGAAACTTACCGTTGCTATGTAATATCATGAAAAAATAAGCCGTTTTTGTTTTTGTGTTATAAAATACTCTAATATGCCTGCGACTTCTTTCTAAATGGATCATATGCACGTTTTTGTTCTTGTTCATTTCCGATGTTATGAATAAAACTGATTGAAATGACCCGTTGAAATTTTTATTGTAAATCAATTTAAATTCTTCACGCATCTGCTCAAATGGCAATGGTTTATTTTCGTCGTTGGACATTTTTG